ACAAAACAGTGACAGAAGAGAAGCAGATGTACCTAGAAGTTGGTGTGGAATACAAAGCCCCTGTTTCTGCTTTGCATACTGAGAACCTCCATCTGTCAGTGAGAGAGGGTTGCAGAGGTCACAATGAAGGGGCAGCCAAAAATTACCTAACCGGCATACAAAAGCTTCGAGAGAGCAAGGACCAGATGGCTGCAGTTTCTGAGCCCCTCCTGAACGCAAGGAGGGACACCGAGCTGGCACTGCACCAGTTCTTGCTCCGCACCTCCAAAAGCCAGCCCATCTGTCTATCCCAGGCCTCCGGCAGCACACCGGCAGGTGCCACAGGCTTGGAATGGTTTCCAGATTTGTATCCTAATTATGACAAGCTGAGTAGTTTTCCAGGGAAGCCTTTCCAAGAAGACATGGGGATCACAACGAAGGCACCAAAGAGCAGTTTCTCAGAGGGACAGCAAGGTAACGTGAGAAACAAAAGCCTCTACTGCTGAGATTTGCTGCACTGTCAGGCTAAACTATCTGATGTGAATGGGAGAGGAGGGGTAGGAAACGCTAAGCTGCTGGGTTCATCCAGAAAGTGATCCAGGAAGGATCCAAGGAGGTTAACTGTCCAACCCTCCAGCCTGCAAAACCAACGGTTTGCATTTCCATTTAGGTTTAAGACAGGCTCTTGCATGTTTGGGCTGGTGGAGCCAGCTCACTTTGTGGGGCGAGACGATTCACTCTTCCTTGCTGAGCAGTCAGGCCCAGGTCTCTCGCAGCCGTACCAGATGCCAGCTCCGTGCTCACCGTCCAGCGCAGGCAACACGAGCGCGCCGCACGCGCTGCCCTCGCTTTCCTGCCTTTGACTGCTCTGTCTTCTCATCGCACAGGTCCCCTCTCGGAAAGGCGTCTGATGGATGTAAGGCTGGGGGAGCTGCCCGCGTGGCTGGCCGCCTGTGACTTATCTCCCCAGGGGCTGCTTGGAGGAGCGCGGAAAGGTAAGGCTAAATTCCCAGCTCTTGGGGCAGAATTGTCCCGCTGACCCAATTTACTTCCTGCAGCCTCATCCAAGTGGCCAGTCTGGGTCTTTATGAAAAGAAGGAAATAAATAGACTCAACCATTTGGCTTTAGGAAGTTAAATAGAAACCAGGGAACTCTTAAGACCTGCACGTGATTTGACGCTTGCATTTCTGTTCCAACAGCCTGGAGCAGCTATTATGACAAATACATCAACGTGAAGAGGGGGGGACCAGCTGGGATCTCCATGCTGCTGGCTGGATACTGCCTCCTCAGCTATGGCTGGAACTATCAGCACATCAGTAAGATTTCCTTCCTGCTCTCTCCCATTTCAGGAAATTTCCCCTTCTGCAGCAGGCGGAGAGTCTGTTTGCTATTCATGTTAATTCAAGCTCTGAAATAGTTCAAATATTTCACAGTTAAGACTAATATCAGAGCTCAAAGAACAGTGTTCTGGCCTGGCTTAGGTAGGCAGAGGAATTTAGTTAAAGTTGGTGGTAACAGTTGCTGATTCACAGCTTCTCCCTGGAGAGCGCCAGGAACGTCAGGAGCACTTTTAAACCCTGCGCAAAGCAGAGGGAGGAGATGTTCCAACACTAAGCACCCGTTCCCTGGATTTACTCCTCACTGACAAGGGATTTACTGGTGTTTGTGTAGTTTCCCCAGCAGGACTTACTCTCGTGCACAGCTCTACAGCGCATAAACAGAGAATGCTGCAGTCAGTCCCCTACTCATCACTGCTGGGCAAAGCACGCTCATGTAGTCCCTGAGCACAGCCCTGTGCTAACGCTCTTCTGATTTTCTTCCCCCCTGTTTTTCTAGAGTGTCATCGCTGGCGTAAATACCACTGAAGAAGGTGGAACAGCACCCAAGGAACAGTTGTGAAGATTTGACTGGGAGTCAGCAGAAGTGCTCAGGACCGCTGTCCCAACAGGGATTCAAATCAGTAGAGGCGCATTTACTATCAGAGACGGGTTCTTTAAATTGTTGAGGGCTGCTTTTCAGTTCCCCTCCTGCAGACAGAGGTGTGACACTGCCAGTAATGGCCTGCAGTCACTGCTCTGTGGTTCAGGTGGTGTTTGGTACTGAAAGAAGAAGGCATTAGAGCCGCCCCTCAGTATGCAGTAGAGCTCCTGTAGTCTGCAGGAACCCAAATCTCTCACTTTGGGACACCAGACATGGGACAACTCCTTGACTTGGGCTGTTTGTGTAGATTAATTGACATTATGTTGTAGTCAGAGTTGTGCCCAGCACAGCCCATCTTTTTTTTTTACTTACCCCTCTCTGCCGCAAGCACGATGGGGTTTGCTACCGAGTGGCAGGAGAAGGGTGGTCCCTGCAGGGCCCCTTCCACAAAGGGCCCCCAGCCCCTGCTTTGCTGTCGATGCGGCACTGGTGGGACTGGGAAGGACCTTCGGGAAGGCATTAAAGCAGCAGCGCTCAGACCACAGCGCCCTAATTCTGGAGGAAGAAAATCCATTGGATTAGCTGTTGTGCCCAAAGGGCAAACCGATGTCTGCATCAGACAAATGAGGACAGTTAGGAGTGCTAGTTGTAGCCTGCCATCACCAAACATGTCTGGAAAAGGATTGGTCATGTTACAGGCATGAAGGGTAAAACAAAAGAAAGCCAAGGGGGGAAAAAAAAATCAACTCTTTATTCAAAGAGTGGTGCAGTGGTACTGTGCCAGAGGTGTTTCACCAAGAACTCCCTCTTCCCAGCAATAAAAACCTTTGTACATTTTCCTTTCCTGCTTGGTACCGCGTGTTCTCAAACATGGTGCTTTTTGCACCCCCCTCGCAGGGGATTAACACACCCACACCCTCATCTGCCCTGGACCCTGGCGCAAGCTGGTCCCGCGCCCCTCAAACCTGTGATAGCACAGGCAGCCAGCTGCGCAGGAGGGACCGGAGGCAGCTGTGAAGAGTCCAATTTTAGTTGCATTAGGGGAGCTGTGATCTCTCTGCCGCTCACACAAAGAGCTGCGAGAGCCGGTGCCGAGCAAAACCAACTGGCTTTTCTAGTCCAGCAACTGCCCGAGTAGCCGTCTCACTGGCTCCGGCGCGCTTCCCAGTGTCCTCCTTCCACGGATCCGTGCAGGAGCACGCAAGTCACTTCCCCAGCAGCATTTCCAGCTGAGCCTTCCCACATTTACTGGTGTAGTGACCCTTCTGTCCGCACTGTGGGGACAGGGAGAGGCAGGCATCCGTTTTATGCTGGATCAACCAAGTGCTGTGTTAGCACACATTCATTTTCACATCAGTTCCCAGCAACTGGGCTAATGGAGCCATGCCTTGTTCCGGCTCAGCTCTCACCTGCAAGCAGCATCCTGAGACCTCCAACCACAACAAACCTCCAACCCAGAGGGACACGAGGGGCTCGCTGCTCTCCCGGGCTATTCTGCCCTAGGTTTATTAAGTGTTTATTACCACGGAAGACCCTTCACATGCAGTCAGAGTATTTCAATCCAAGTATGGCCTCCTTCCCACAGGTTCACACCCCAGCTGCCTGGGGCAGGCAGGCTCCAGGGCCAAGAAACAGCCCAGGGAGAAGATGGACATCTCAAGGGAGCTGTTTGGAGAGTGCTGTGGGAGCCCCCGTGCCACACGCTGCCCCTCACCATCGCACTTTACCCTCCCTCCAAGGTGAGGCCATTGCTGCCAGGCCTCCCAGTCCCAAAAACCACTCACCTTGAAGCAGATGCCTTGTTCAAGCAGGCTCTGTGTGCTCAGGGGGCAGCTATCGGTGTCCTGCAGCTGCGCTGTCGGGTGCGGGGTAGCACTAGTGACTGGTAGAGGGGGCTCCGTGGGTGGCACATCCTTGCATCCAGTGTCCCCGCCAGCAGCCAGATCCAGCCGTGCCAGCCCCCAAGGATGGCCAGCTCCCTGGGGGGACATGGGGCAGGAGGGGGGGGGTTGGCAGCCACTGTCCCACAAGAGCTGTGGGGCAGGGGAAGCTGGTGCATCACCCCGACGAGCAGAGGCACAGACCAAAAGGGCTCCAGCTCAAGAGGGAATGGCACAGAGCCTTCCCTGCCTCACCTCGGACGGATCCGTGCTGCTCGTCATCAGCCCGGCCTTGAGGCTGGAGGGGGACACAGAGGACAGGCAGTTACTCCCCGGGACATGGCAAGCAGTACCCCCAGATCCCCCCCACGGCCTCTCAGGGCTGGCCCAGGGCTCAGGCAGCTGCTCCAGGCATCCCCATGGAAGCTGGGGCTGTTCCCTGCCCACCCGCCGCAAACCCTGTGGCCACCGGCTCAGGTTGGACGTGAGGAGAGACCAGAGGGGTCCCGTTAGTTCAGACAAGGACCTAAAGCGCCCTTGTCCTTGACCCAGACACTGCAAGGGCCACATCCACCTCTGCAGCTTTGGGGAGGGGGCTGTCCCCCGCTGTCCCAGGCTGGCCGTGTGCTGAGCTCCCCCCAGCCTGCCCCGTACGTACTGCATGAATCTGCATTTGGGTCCTTCTGGGCAGAAGCCAACGAGGTAATTGGCACACATCACCCTCCGCGTGTGCTTGTACTTGCACAGGGGACCTGCCGCGCAGAGGAGAGGTTCCTGCTTATGGGGACACAGTACCACACCCCCTGCCCCTCAGGGATTTCGGAAGCTCCGCTTTCCCCAGCAGCCCCATTCCCCTTCAGCTCCAATGGGGCCTTTGCCTCCCCAAGCCCAAATCCCCACTGGGCACCCAGTCCCACTCCCAGGCAGCCCCCAGACAGCCCGCTGTGCTTCACCCCACTCTGCCTGGTCACCTCCGAGGTGGCAGGAGATTGGGCCAGGAGTGGGGTCCAGACCCCCCGTCACTGGTGGGTAGGGAACATGGGCAGCCCCTGCTCACCCCAGCACCCATCCCAGCAGCTCACCGTGCCTGCAGAAGCCACGGTCGTACCAGGGACAGCCCACGGTGCTGGCAGTGGCATCAACGTGCAGGAAGGGACAGTCCTTGTTGCTGCACTCACCTGCAGAAGGGGTGGCATGGGTGGGACAATGGTCGCTCAAGCCAAATGCAGTGGAAAGTGCTCAAGGATGGGCTGGATGGGAGGAACAGAGGTGCCCTGGGAGCAGCCAGGCTCAGCCCGGGGAATGGTGGCCCTGGGTGGGTGCCAACAACGTTACTTCCCGCAAACAGGAGATGGCATCAGGCGCTTGCTCGAGGCCAAACCCGAGGGACATGGGTGCTGGGGTTGGGAGAGGCTCATTGGGGTCCCCAGCCCAGTCCCACACCTACCGAACTTGGAGTAGAAATAGCAGTCGGGCATCTTGGTCGTGTTGTACTCGTGCAGGAAGTCACAGCCATCACCCTTCTTGCAGAGCCCACGCAGCCAGTGCTTGCACACCACCGTCTTCTCCCCGCCGACATGCTGGAATGGGCACCGCACGCCTGGCCCCGACATGCGCCCACCGTCGGAGCCTGCCCGTGCCCCACAGCCCCCCCCAGCCCTTCCTGCACTCAGGAATCCCCAGCACCCCCCAGCTCCTTGGCTTGGGACATGTCAGCATGAGCTTTCCAGGACGTGGAGGAGATTTGCAGCACCCACTGGGTGCAGGGGGCTCGGTCCCCTGGGCGCTGCCAAGGTCTGGTTGCCCTGGAGGTGTTCAAGCCCTCCCCGGTGCAGAAGGGGTAGGAGCACTCATCCAAAGGGCCAGGGGGGATGATGGACTCCGAGCAGTGTTAGCATTTTGGGTCAAACCCTGCCGACCCACTGGCTGTAGGGCCACGGAGCAATCTGCCATGGATATGGGCTGGTCAGGGAGCAGAGAGGGGCCCTGCCTGGCTCCCTGGTGACCCCAGGACCTTGCAGGGTGGTGCCAATCCCATCCCCATCCCTTCCCAGCACACACCCTTGGTGCACAGCCCTTGATGGAAGAACTCGCAGACGGCCGCCCCCAGCTCTGCGGAGGAAAGCAGGGCAGGGAGAGCTTCACCCGCCAGCCCCAGTGCCAGGACCACCGCACCATTGAGGGCAGGAGCATCTCAGCCCATGCCACCCGCAGAGCTGTGCCAGATGCATCCCCGAGGGAGCAATGCCCGGAGCCAGGCTGGCCTCAGGCAGGAGCCCAGGGAGGAGGCAGGACCAGAGGCACCAAGGCACAGCAGTCAGTGCAGCAAGAACCAGGAGCACCAGCAAGGAGGAGAACCCCAACACCTCCTGCACCCCTGTCACCCTCCAAGGATGCCACAGGATCCTGTCCCCAACTTACTGTCCATAACTGGGAAGGGCAGGGGCTGAGCTCCTCGCTGCTGCTCCACATCAGCCTCCAAGTCAAACCTGATCTTCTCCACACCGGCCACCAGCTCCTGCATCGCCCCTGCTCCAGCGAGAGGCACCTCCAGCCCAGCACAGGCAGGGAGCACAGCGGCAAGGGGGCTGCCTGAAGAAAGCACAGGTCTCCCAAGGGACCCCCACACTCTGCAGGTCACCGCAGCCAACCTGGGCCCCAGCAGCACTCACAAACCCTCCTCCTCCTCCCCAAGCCAGAGCAAAACCAACCCAGGCAGCAGCCCCGAGCCTTCCATTTAAAGGGAGAGAAGCTGCCCACATCTGGTCTCAATTTGCAGCCGTGATTGCCTGGTGCTGCAGCCCAGCTGCAGGGAGCTCAGCCCCGGGCCCCCATCGCATCCCCCGTAATTGCCTTTCTGCACTGACATCTGCTTTTCCTCCAGCCCCGGCTCTGGGGCAGCGCGGCTGGGTTAACCCCCTCACACCGGGGCTGCTGCTCAGCCTCAAAGGGAGCCAAACGTGGCCTGCGTGCTGCAACTAAAGGCTCAGATGGCAAGGGCCGGACCCTGCGTGGGTTTTGTTGCACTCCGAGTGCTTTGAGCATGGCGGGGTGCAGAGCTGCACCGTCC